AAGAAAAATAACTCAGGCTATTATTAGAACTAACCACAGACTTATGAACCCTATGTTTATTAATTATAAAAAAAACTTTTACTACTATTCCTTATTCAGAGTCAAATGAAAATGTAAATATTATGCCTTTTAATATGTATTACACTAATGTACACATATTGAATATGGGAGCAAAAAAAAATTATTGAGAAAAAACCACTAACAACATTCCTTCTGACTGACCAAAACAAAATGCACAAATTTGTGTTTTCTCCTAAAAATTTATAAAATTTTTAATTATAAGTTCCTTATAGTCTATAATTCCTCCTGTGGTCAAACATAATCATTGGATTTTCCAGAGTCACAGAAAAGGCTGAAGAAATCTCTGAAATATTAATCTCTTCTGATGAGGGAGAAAATAAGGATCTGCACAGAATTACTTTCTCCCCTCCACACACATACATCCACATGTGCATACACTCAAACACACACACTCTTACACACAAAATCAGTGATATTATTTTCTCTTTTTTAGAACCTACTGAGAGGATAATGGACCATAGAAATCATTCCTCAGTAACTGAGTTCATCCTCTCTGGGCTAACAGAACTTCCTGAACTCCAGCTACCCCTCTTCTTCCTCTTCCTAGGAAACTATGTGGTCACAGTGGTGGGGAACCTGGGCATGACCGTGCTAATTGGACTCAGTTCTCACCTACACACCCCCATGTACTATTTCCTCACCAGTTTGTCTTTCATTGATCTCTGTCAATCCACTATCATTACCCCCAGAATGCTGGTGAACTTTGTGACAGAGAAGAACACCATCTCCTACCCTAAATGTATGACTCAGCTCTATTTCTTTATTGTTTTTGCTATTGTGGAGTGTCACATGCTGGCTGTGATGGCATATGACCGCTATGCTGCCATCTGTAACCTCTTGCTTTATAATGTTATCATGTCTTATCACATGCTTCGGGCTCACAGTGGGAGTGTATATTTTGGGTATCATCGGGTCTACAATTCATACGGGCTTTATGTTGAAACTCTTTTTCTTCAAGACCAATGTGGTTAACCATTATTTCTGTGATCTCTTTCCACTCCTGGAGCCATCCTCCTCCAGCATCTATATCAATGAATTATTGATTCTGGGTCTGAGCGCATTTAACATATTGACTCCTGCCTTAGCCATCTTTGCCTCCTACAGCTTCATCATTAGCAGCATTCTCCACATTCATTCCACTGAGGGCAGGTCCAAAGCCTTTAGCACTTGCAGCTCCCACATCTCAGCTGTTACAATCTTTTATGGTTCTGCGGCATTCATGTACCTGCAGCCGTCAAATGCCAGCTCCATGGACCAAGGCAAAATGTCCTCTGTGTTCTATACTACTGTTGTGCCGATGCTGAACCTTATGATCTACAGTCTGAGGAATAAGGATGTCAAATTTGCCCCGAAGAAAATTCTAGAAAGTAGAGTATGCTCATGAATAGAATCAATGCTATCATGTCCTTTCTGAAACAGATCTTTGGTTTGCTGATATATGTAATTTGTTTAGTTAATTCTTTAAGTTTGTGGGTTCATTGACACTTCTTCCCCTGAATAATACATGTCCAAAATTCCCCTTCAGGCCACTTCTTCTTTAAGCCTATATTACACTGACTATATATACAGGAATATGGAGAATAAAATGAAAGGATGTTTAGAATTACAGGAACTATACTTTCATTTTTTAATAATAATACAACAAAAAAAGATGATGATGATGATAGTAACATATATTATTGAGCTATTATAAAATGTAAAATCCTGTACTAAACACCTTAAGTGAATAACTTTATAGAATATTTACAATATTCCCTCAGGGCAAATACTACAAGCATTCCCCTTTCAAAGATGAAGAAATTAAATCTTAGAGAATTTGCACAATCTGTCTCAAGCCTCAAAAAATAAGCAATTAAGCCTGGAAACAAACCTGAGAAGCTTGACTCCAAGCTTCATGATTTTACTCAAAGTGCTACTCAGACCAAAGGTAAGTGTAGGAGGTCTAAGGACTCCCTAAGAATTCTCTACACACCGAGCATCACTAGCTCCCTATATTACTGTGCTGCTGTCCTCTGAATACACTCCTTTAAAATTTTACCTTTTTTGACATATTAAAAATTCTTTGGATCTGTGTTGATGAAAGCAAAATGGAGCATAACTAGGAATATCTTCATTATGGAGACTCCAATTATTATACACAATATCAATTATTTGTATAAAAATATAATAAGATTGCTTTATCTTTATACAAGTAATAACATGGTTGTTTATGAATCAGATGCTCATAAAAACAAAAAACCCTGCTAAGTTGTATCACCTCCATGCTGTTGATTTTCTTTTGCCCCATTATTTTCCAAACAGTTGGACTTCCATGTAAATTTTGCCTTGAAAACATTTCTTCTTTCCCCTCGTTTTATTGCTTTTTTGATTCAGGATATTTAACATCTTGCAACTGTGACTTTACATAATAATTTAAATACTCAGTTGACTTATATATCTCCCCAATTCAAACCATCTTACTCATTATTGACAGATCAACATTCTTTTGGTGCTTTTCTGTTTTATTTATCTGATGTAACAACTTGAATAGTTTACAAAGTATAGGACAAAAATAAATGCTGTCTTTAGCATACCTTACCATCCTTGTCTTCCATCATCCATTCATTCATTGTTGTCAGTCATTCATTCTCAAAGAACCCTTGTATTTATTATTTGACATAATTCTAACCAGCCATATATTTTTAAAAAACAACCACAATTACAACTCCAGTCTTAAGCCTGCTTCCTAGTCCAGAGCTCTGTCCAACAGACTGTCACATAAACAAATAGACTAACATTGGACAAGCAAATGTAGTGCTGTTGGGTAGGCCCTTGAAGGACTGGGGTATGATCTCATATAAAAAAATATAAACTAAGTGAAAGGCAATGACCTCATAAAGGATGAGGGAAAAGGCCTGTGCAGGTGGAAAAAATTTGTTGAGAACTTATGACTGATTAGAAGTGAGTTAAAGGTAAAAGAAGGCATGAGGATGAACACAAGTTCTAGCTTGGGTTGCTAAATAAATGGCTGGATGATGGTAGAACTCTTAAAATGGAGCTACTAAATCTAGATAAGAATTCACTCTAAAGCAATTGGGTCACTTGGTATAATTCAAACTCTCTTTCTCTGTGTCTGTCTCTGTCTCTCTGTGTGTCTCATTCTCTTTCTTTCTTTCTCTATAATACATATTTACTATCCTTCATGAGAATACATAACCCGATAATCTGAAAGAATTGGAAGACTGGCTTTTATGAGCCTCTGAGTAGTTTTCATTATTCTATGATCATCCATGAAAAGGCCTGTTTATATCCTTCCCAATTTTGATCTTTCAGCTCACTTTTTCACTTCTTGTATTCAGCACACTGAAATAACAGTCAGCCATAGTCAGCTTGCTTGTGAGGTGGCATGCCTGACAAACATATTCTCCTTTAGAAATCCTAGAATCCTGAAGTCACTACAACTCTGAAGCTAAAAGAAGCTTTCTAATGACTAAGTATGGGAGAACTTGCTCGAATTTGAAATAATTATAATGAAGAGAGTCAAAATATCATCTAATATCTTAATTCACGAAGAATGGTCCATTGGCAAAAAATGAGACTTTCTAAAAATATGTATAATCTCAAGTTCCACACCAGACCTCCTAAGTCAAAATCTGCTTTTTGACAAGATCTCCAGTTGATTCCTATGTGCTTTGCAGTTTGGGAGGCATATCTCTAGGTTAAAGAAATATTGATTTCTGGCCCCAGGCTCTGAGATTTTTATTTAATATATATTAGGGGCAGTCTCAGTATAGGGATTTCTAAAAACTCCCTTGATGGTTTAAAATAGTAAGAATTCAGCAACACAATACAGCCCAATCTTAATCTCCTTTAAAAATAATTGACTCTAATTTATTTAACTCTATTTTATAATAGCGCCCCAGATGCGACTGTTCAAGTTTACCTTGATTCACACTGCAATTTAAGGCTGCTTTCAATTATTCCTGTTTTGGAAATATATATATTATATATGAAATGGGGACCATAGGTTCTAATAATAAAATATCTCCTTTAAATATACAAATTATCAAGCAGGATTTAGTTCAATAAGTACCACTAGAAAGTTAAATATTATATTAATATTCCAAATTCTCACTGATTCTGGGCATCTAAAATGCAATTACAGATAGATTCGACTTTTTAATCAAGTACCTATTTATTGAGTCAAGTGACTATAAAATAAAACATATTTTATATGAGGAAATAAATAGTTTAATTCGTTATTTTAAAATTTCTAGACTTCTTAACAATATAACTTGTCAGAATGTGCCCTGATGCTCTTGTCTTGTTGTTGTTAGGTGCCCTTGAGTTGGTTCCGACTCATAACGACCCTATGTACGACAAAACGAAACACTGCCTGGTCCTGGGCCATTCTCACAATCATTGCTATGCTTGAGCCGCTACTGTCACTGTGTCAATCCATCTCATGGAGGGTCTTCCTCTTTTTGGCTGACTCTCTACGCTACCAAGCACGATGTCCTTCTCCAGGGACTGGCACCTCCTGACCACATGTCCAAAGTATGTGAGACAAAGTCTCTCCATTCTCACTTCTAATGAGCATTCTGGCTGTACTTCTTCCAAGACAGATTTGTTTGTTCTTCTGGCAGTCCATGGTATAGTCAATATTCTTCACCAACACCATAATTCAAAGGCATCAATTCTTCTTTGGTCTTCTTTACTCATTGTCCAGCTTTTGTATGCAAATGAGGCAATTGAAAACAGCACGGCTTGAGTCAGGCACACCTTATTCCTCAAAGTGACATGTTTGCTTTTTAACACTTTAAAGAGGTCTTTTGCAGCAGATTTGCCAAATGCAATGTGTCCTTTGATTTCTTGACTGCTGCTTCCGTGGGTGAGGATAGTGAATCCAAGTAAAATGAAATCCTTGACAACTTCTGTATTTTCTCCGTTTATCATGATGCTGCTTATTGGTCCAGTTGTATTTTTTATGTTGAGGTGCAATCCATACTGAAGACTACGGTCTTTGATCTTCATCAGTAAGTGTTTCAAGTTCTCTTGACTTTCGGCAAGAAATGTTGTACTATCTGCATAAATCGTGGGTTGTTACGGCGTCTTCCTTCAATTCTGATGCCGCGTTCTTCTTCATACAGTCGAGCTTTTTGGATTATTTGCTTAGCATAGTGATTGAATAAGTATGGTGAAAAGGTACGATCTTGACACACACCTTTACTGACTTTAAACCACACAGCATCCCCATGTTCTGTTTGAATGACTGCCTCTCGGTCTGTGTACAGGTTCCTCCTGAGCACAATTAAGTGTTCTGGAATTGCCATTCTTCATAATGTTATGCATAATTTGTTATGATCCACACAGTCAAATGCCTTTGCATAGTCAACAAAATACTGGTAAACATCTTTCTGGTATTCTCTGCTTTCAGCCATGATCCACCTGACATGGGCAATGATGTCCCTCATTCCATGTCATCTTCTGAATCCTGTTTGAATTTCTGGCAGTTCCCTGTCGATGTACTGTTGCAACCTCTTTTTAATGATCATCAGCAAAATTTTACTTGTATATAACATTAATGATACTGTTCGATAATCTCTGCATTCTGTTGGATCACTTTCTTTGGAATGGGTACAAATACGGATCTCTACCAGTTGGCTGGCCAGGAAGCTGTCTTCCAAATTTCTTGGCATAGACAAGTAAGCACTTACAGCACTGCATCCATTTGTTGAAACATCTCGAGTCCATGAGAACCAAACTATGACCTTGAATATATCTCACCTGAATTTAGAGACCATTTACAGAGTAGATTTGATGCATTGCACACTAATGATCAAAGACCTGTTGAGTTGTGGAATGACATCAAGGACATCATACATGAAGAAAGCAAGAGGTCATTAAAAAGACAGAAAGAGAGAAAATACCAAAATGAATGTCAGAAGAGACTCTAAAAGTTGCTCTTGATCATTGAGTAGCTAAAGAAAATGGAAGAAATGATGAAGTAAAAGAGAGGAGCAGAAGATTTCAAAGGATGGCTCAGGAAGACAAGGTAAAGTGTCTGGCATGATTGAATTGTGTCCACCGAAAATATCTGTCAACTTCGGTAGGCCATGATTCCCAGTATTGTGTGTTTGTCTTCCATTTTGTGATTGTAATTTTCCTACGTGTTATAAATCCTAATCTCTGCCTGTGGTTAATGAGGCAAGGTTAGATTATGTTAAAGGTGATTAGGGAGGGATTGTAACACACTAAGTTCACAACCCTGATCCAAAGGAAAGGGAGTTTCCCTGAGATGTGGCCTGCACCATCTTTTTTATCTTACAAGAGATAAAAGGAAAGAGAAGCAAGCAGAGCATTGGGGACCTCATACCACCACGAAAGCAGTGCCTGGAGCAGAGT